AAAAGAAAGAAAACATAGTGCAAGCTGCCCTGGCCAAATCGAGGCGGGGGAATTTTTCATTCACACACTCGATTGGTCGTCCACTCGAGCCTCAATTGTTGAAGATACTTGTACCTGGATGACTGATAATATAGAAAGAAATTTTTAATCGACAGTTTTCGAACTCCTCAGACTGCTCAGGGTAGACTGTTGACCTAGAAAAAAAGAAAAAAGAAAAAAAAAAAAAAAAAAAAAAAAAAAAAAAAAAGAAAAAAAAGAAGGAACAAGAATATCCAATCTTCCGTTTTCAACATGAAGCATGAAGCAGATTTAAAACGAGACAGAATAACAGTCTGCATCTTCGATGATCGGCTATATCACGAGTTGACGAGATTGAACCAGAGTTCACGTACAAGTGTCCTTAAGGCCGGATAGGTGGAGCAGCTCGAGAAGAGATTGGTGTCGCCCGAATTGGACACTATATATATATATATAAATTCAAAGCCGCGTCTTTGTGGACGTACAGTAAGCGTGTTCGTCAGGTATTGACGCGAAATTGTGCAATACCGATCCCTATCGTGATAATTAATTAACTCCACTCCCCTCAGATGATTTCTTCTATGAAGAAACCAAGGCGACACCAGCGTTCAACCCGCCAGCAATTCGTTTTGGATGAAGGAATAAATTCAGAAATCATTGCTAGCCACTCTAGGTCAGGATACCCACTGCCTGGAATAGGAATTTCTTTGAGAGCTGCTTCACCTAGGTCCCTGAAGCTGGATATCGTCCAACAAAACTAGTAGCAATAGAACTCGTCCAATCAAACTATTGGATGATAGTTGACAGACAGCTGTGATTCAAACTGAATTCGACTTCGGACGACCCTCTCCTCCGCAAGGAGAATAGCTAATCGTGTTTCAAGCAGGAAACTTTTCTCCTCTGTGGTCCTAAATTCGGGGAATTTTTTCTAAAAAAAGAAAAGACGAAAAAAAGAAGAAAAAGAGAAAAGAAGACATTCAGAAAAAAGTTAAAAAAAGGAAAAAAACAAAAAAAGAAAAAGAGAAAAAAAATTTGGAAGGAATTTCGGTTATTCTTGATCCTTCCCTCCGAGATTCTCACCCTGTTAGCTAACTCTTGATAGTACTTAACGCATCCCAACGTGATCTGGAATAACCTAGGTTCCATCTTTCTCCAAGATCTTCGTTCAACCAACTTTTTGGCATTTCGAGGAAAACGAAATTGATCGCGAGGACCGCAAAGGAAGCAAACTCGTTGAAATCAGTCCGGTTTTAAATAATAGCGATTCTGTAAATAAAAATATAAAAGAAAAAAAACGAGTGTTGTAAATGATTAAAAGAAAGAAAAAAATAGAAAAAAAAAAAAAAGAAGCTACGTTCCCGTCGGATTGCGTTGCGAAGCTGCATAAATAGTCCGAATACATTTATAGAGTTCGACAAAATGAGAGATTGTGAAGGCGTGTACTGGCTTAGAGACATTGTTTACAGATGTGTCCGTGTATAAAAATTTGTGAATCTTTTGTGAAAGCTATATATACATATATATAGCTCATAAGACATAGGATGAAAATGAATTTTTATTGGTGACCATGATGAGTGTAGAAAAAAATCACAATCGCGACCGATCACGTTAATCGTCGTATACATTATAACACTTTACAGATTTTTATGCGTATTCGTAACACATTTATATATACGGATAAACGTTCTGCGGACAATTTTTCTAAGTATGGATGTCTCTGCACACGTCTTGAGGGGTGTTCCTTGCTCTCGTAAAGCGCGGTTAATTCATATACACGTATTGTATAACGTCTACCTTTCTCTCGTAAGGAGCAGTGTTCATCCTGAACCTATTATTGCTGTGTAATAATTATATTAGAGAAGAAAAAAGAAAATAGAAAAAAAAAAAAAAAAAAAAATAAAACAAAGAATATAAAGAAGGATAATACGAGGTAAATGATGATTAAATGATGTGACGAATCGAGTTGATACATTTGTGATCCGGACACCTTTTGTTGCGTATTTGTTTGAATCTTTCGTTAAGTAAAATGATTGACTTGTATTATTTGAATGTATGCTCGTACACCTTGACTCTATAACTGATGATTAATAAAATATTTTATGTCACTAATTTTGTTTAATCGGAATCATCATAATCTTCTTGTCTTATTATTATTTTTTAATCCTTATTTCATTTATTTATTACAATAATATAAGTTTTTCTGAAAAGAAAAAAATGCAAACAACATGTTATAATTTTTTTTCTTAAATGGATCAGACATATTTTATATACCAATGATAAGGACGCAAACAGGTATATTTGGCAGAAGTAAAAAGAAGTACCTATTTTTAGAAAAAAATTATCTCTTACTAACTATTCTTAGAATTTCATCGTAAGAGTACATATCTCTTTACAAAATAATAGCCTATTCTTCTCTCAAGATTACTCTAATTACTCTTTCTAATTCCCTAACATCTATCAACTTATCACTTCGTTTCTATTGTCGTAAAGAAAATTCATCCAGGATAAACTGAACAAAATTTCCAATAGAAGAGAAAATAATCTATCGTTTTATATTTGCAGAATTTTTCCAAAAAAAATTCATTAGCAAAGTCGAAAATTGGGATAAAAATGTTCTTCAATCGTCATCGATTCTTAATTGGTCAGGTAACCGCTTAGATCCTCGTCAGATCGTTTGAAATCGGCGATGTAACTGCAACTGTGCACGGAATGAGGTGTTTTATCTTTAGGGCTCAGAATCGAGCGCAGAGTCCCGTCGTAGTTCAGGTTCAAAGACATCTCTCTCCTGAGCTCTGTGCAACGACCGACCTCGTAATCCATGTCGATCTCTCTACCTTTTCGATTTTTCGTGAATAACAGTTCTAGGCTATAAATGACGCTGACCAGTTCCTCCTCCAACTGAGGATCGCAGGAAAAGGAGACCATACCTGGCTCGCAACCGGGAGCACCTATTGAATTCATGAATAAATTATATGTCGATGCCTCGTGTCTCGAATCGATAATATATACGTTTGAATTCGAATGAAATTTTATTCTTGATTTTTTTTTTCAATTAAAGGATAGCGAACAACGTGGAACTTTGTTTAAAACGGATTTGTCCAGATCTTTTTAATTTTTGCTGGTTTAAAAGCATGGCTTTGCATAATTAATAATCGTAATAATTTTTGCTTTGTAAATAACCTTGAGTGTCCTGCACAGTCTCCCAGCGAACCAAAGCCTCTTGCAAAGGTTTATAAAGCTGTCTTCTGTTAGGACAACACCAGTTGGCCACTTTGGCGTCCAATTGTACTCTGTCTTCGGTGCCTAGCTGACTCCAACTTAGAAACAGCTGCTTCAGTCGCGGCACTATCATAGAATCCCATCATAAATACGTATCTATGGCCAGTTTACAGTCGTCAGTTATAGATATAAAATTAATACAATTAATAATCGATATTGGAATTATGAAAACCCATTTTGATGAAAACTCTTATTTACAGAACTCCATTTATGTTTTATATATATATATCGATGGATATTCCAAAATATTTTAAATTTTTATGCTTTATGAAATATCTAAAAATGGAAATTAAAATAAAAAAAGAAAAAGTTTTGTATTTGATTTTATGTATGTATAAATGGGGCACTGTAATTTTAAATTTGCCAATTTTTTCCTTTCTGGACGAAAGAACGAAAGAAAAAAAAAAAAAGAATTTTGAAAGTTGAACAAACCTTCGGGTATCAGAACGAATATCGTGTCGCATATCTGCTCGAAGACAGACTCTTCCATCGATTCATCGGCGTCGTTCTCGTGGTTGATGGTGATCGTGGATTTAGATTGCATCGCGCATTTTCAACCCCGAGGGAATTCCTGTCATTTTGCCCACGATACGCGAGTGAAACGAGAAAAAACAAAATGTTGTCACATTCGTGAATAACTTCAAGGGAAAAAACTTGCTACGATCGTTACCTTTACGTATTATTAATACGTATGTACTTTTATTTGTTTAAGAAAGTAAATATAAAATAATTAAACTAATGTGATATTAATAACGATGTTAATATATATAGAAAAATTTAAACTTATACATATATTATTAGGATTATTTTATTATATATTATAATATCGTTTAAATATATGTTCGTAATCATATTTGATCGATTCTAGGAAAAATTAACACAAAAAAAAATTAATATACAAAAATATCGATCGAAGTTTTTATTTTATTTTATTAAATTTACGCTAACAAATTGAATTGGCGATGTGACAGAAATAAAAATATTTCACTCTATCTTCATCTCGCAATTTATTACTGAATTTTTTATAACACACAACAAATATTCAAACCTCGTGGTTCGTGTCCATGCTAAATTCAAAATATTTTCCATAAAATTTTAATTCAATTTAATTTAATTAATCCTATACTTTAAAAAACACTCTCTCATTGATAAAAAATTGTTAAACGAATATTAATTTCTAAATTAATGCTTCTTTTGTTGTTGGTACAAAATTTTTCAATACGAATAATTGTTTTGACTCGAATTAGTGAATTTGCAAAGTTTAAATAATTCTAAAATGGAGGAGAAGGAGTATCTTAATTCCGAGTTGCGTGGAATTCTGGAACAATTCGTGAGAATTCGTGACGTGCGTCTAATTTTTTCATCCTATTCTTTTTACTTTACCTTTAAATATTCATTATTTGAAACCTATATTTTTCTAACTTTCTTCCATCTTGCTAAAAATTAACAGGCATACGTCGCGATGGAAACTTACTGCGACGTGCAAGAAGAAGCATTGTCGACGGAGAAAGAACGTTGTGAGAAGTTGAAAGAGAATTTAGAGAAGCTTTCGAAAACTTATTTGCTCCTCGAAAAGAGATATAAGACCACTGTTGAGAAATTGCAGAACGAAGGGAACGATCTTCGTAAAATGATCGAGGAATTGAAAGAAGATTGTGACGATCTGCGTCTCATTAATGCAGAACGTACTGCAAACGATGAGCAAAGTATATAATAAATAAATCTTATAATCTTAAAACTTTGATTAATTGGATTATTATATAACGAATATATTTGTTTTCCGTGGTATTTAAAACGAATCGATAAGAAACATATCAAATTAATTTTGTTATTGAGTCAGAAATTTTTTATTCATATCGTTTTCTTTCTTATCGATCGATCAATTGAATGTTTAATTTTTATGATTTACAATCGTAAAAATACTTGGTTATTTTATCAATGTTTAAACAATATGTATATTTTTTTTTAAAATTTATAATTAGGTGCGATACGAATAAAATTTTCTTTTTTAAAATTGTTTTTAGGAAATTCTTAAGTATATATTTTTTTAAATTAATTTTTTCTTAACATTGCATCGACATTATCGTTTATCGGTAATTATGTAATTGTGTATGAATTGATCACCAACTATTTATTAAGTGTCGTTAACCAATTATAATTTATTATTTCAACACATATATATTATTTTCAACACAGCGCGCGAATTGCAAGACGAAGTGGAATGTTTAAAAGTGCAGTTATTAATGCAAGAAGAGAAACATAATGAGGATATTGCATTACTCAAACAACAACACACGGATGAAATACAGAGATACAAAATGTTGCTGCAAAACGCCAAATTGGCCTCTACTTCCGTAAATAAATTTTTAAAATTATATAGAATGATTTAGAAAATTAGTAATTTTATTTAAAAAACAATATATTTTCTTTTTTATTTTCGATTAGAATGAACCTAAAAAAAGAGGACGGCCCAAAAATTCGGGAAAAAATAAAAAAGATACCTCGTACTTTAGGTATACTATTTTAAATTTGTTATTTTCGATCAAATTTTTTGAAATTTTTATAATTTAAAAAATAATTATTATTTTAATTTTTCTATTAATTTCAAATATTTGATATTTAGTTGATTTTAAATAACAATATAAATTATAGATGGCCAGAATTGAACATAGAGAAAATTAATGATACGTGTACGGATTTCGAGAAGGCAACCGTAAATAAAAACATTGGAACAAAAAAAAGGAATTGTTTCACGAAGACAAAGATGTCACGATGGATATTGTTCAAAGTATACACAATTTATCAGTTCAAAATACACAAGAAAACGGGATTAATACAAAATAATTATTGCGTACATTACAAATAATATAAAATATATTAATTTAATCTAAAGTTAAATTCATTTTCGTAATATTTCAGTAAATTAAACTAAGTATAATTTTTGGTTCGATTCTATGATTCTTAAACGATAGACATATTTATGTTACATAAATAAATCGAGATATATCTGATAAAAAAAAAAAAAATGCTTATCTTTGACAACAAGAATAATCATTAATGATTATTTACTAATTTTTCGATTCAGCGAATTCCAGCTGTTCGTATAATCGATTTTTAAGTGTCCATACGTGTTCAGATCAAGATGAGGAGGTGGAATAATTTGTACCATGTATTTTTCTTGCTCCCTCAATGGATAAGGTTGTTGTAAACGATAATCTGGGATATCTGTGAAAATGAAAATAAAATGTAGATATAATTGTTATTAAAAATTTAAATTAGGCCCAATTAAAAATTAGACCCACCTGATTCTATAGAATCCATTAGTGGAAAGCTAGAATCAACGCTCGCCGATCTTGAAAAATTGAAAAATCGCTCAACTTAAAGAAAAAAAAAAAAAAAAAAAAAAACTAAATCAAATATTTTTTTGAAAATACCTATGGATCTCTCGTATAGGGGTCGATTTGCATCTGTGCCCGTATCGCCTGTGGTCTTCCATAAATTCGCCGTGTCTCACATCTAAAACAACACGGAAAAAATTATTGAGATCGAATATTTAGAAAAATTACATTAAGATATTCATCCTATGAATTATCAAGCTATCAATTATTTCGAAACAATCAACAATATTTCGAACGATATCTCTTTCAATTATAATCGAAGAGAAAGTATTCAACAAAACTCCACACACCACGTTCTCTTAATAAAACTTTCTCGAAGCTTAAAAACATCGATCTTCCGGTTATAACTTATCTGGAGAAAGATCGATTACGATGGAAGAAAAATTCCATTTCGTTACGTGTTCGAACGAGAGAATTTATTTTCCACTTTAGATCCATCCATGGTCAAACATGTTTGACCAGGTTTCAATTCCCGACGTTCTATCGAGTAATCCATCTGATTAACAACCGATTATATGGAGGTCTTCGAGAACAAATCTTTTAATAGACTTAACTTTGATTCATTGACAAGAGAGGGATTCGACACCCACATACGCCTTTGTCTTTGCTTTTTTTTTTTTTTAATGTGGTGGCAGGGTCGCGGGATTCGGAACAAGGACGTGGAAATCGTGATGACACATGGATTTTTATAAGAACACAATTTTTTTTTAATTATTATTTTCTGAAACACGAAAAATTTCTCAAGAAAAGAGACCACGAAGTAATAAAATAAATCAAAAAAAAAAAAAAATAATCCATAGTGAAT